AAATAGGCACCCAAGATGGATTATCTAAAGTAAATTAATAATGGTCAGCTATGACAGAGATAATAGACAATAGTAGTAATATATATAACACATATATAAACATTACATAATCAAGGCCCAAAATAGTCAACTTAGTAAATGAATGAATGGATGTCACTTACTTCTTAACAACTATAAAATATTATTAAGTTTAAATCTATATATATATAGAAAGAGAGAAAAATGGGGTTTAACGTCAACTCGACACAAACTAGGACATTTCGGGACCAGCATATGGTTTAATTTTTTCATTTCAATTATTCGCTAGCGCGTGGGGGTCTTTAGCAGTGGGAGGAAACCGGAGGACCTGGAGAAAACCCACGAGGTTGGACAGGCGACTCTACTCCTTGTCACATACAACCAGGGATTCGAAACCACGCCAGTTTACTCAATGACAGGCTTTATGATACAGCACGCAAGTGCCAACCATTCGATCATCCAACACCCCTTAAATCTATATAATTAACATTTATTGTTGATTGTTACCAAGTTTCCTCTACTATATTAGAGGAAGATTGTAGATTGTGAGGGTGGACCACAGGTAGGCAGCAGGACATACGTATTACTGAAGGGCAGGTCTCTGATAAGTTATTATTTTGATGCTGTTCCTTATTAGGTTACCTAGCCTGTGGGTCAGTATTGTATATATATTATTATTGTTTAAGTTTTGTGACAGAATATAAGATTAGACCAAGAAGAAGTGAGTTGTTGAATTATTGTATTACTATGTTCAATCTAGCTTACAACCCAAAACTAGATTGAACATACAACCCATCGTCAAAGGTTGGACTATATGAGCAGGTCCATAAAACCTGGATGATAATATCATGAACTATCCCTGGGGATTATCTCCCTGATTATTCAACACAAATACTGACTTTGATATAAAAACATAATATCATGATAGCAAACAAGAATCAATTTGTTGGATATTTAGATCATTTGACCAATCTATCATTTTCTAATTAATTATTGAACTATAGTAGATGTTGTTGTTATGGTTTCAGCTTTGAAAGCCCTGGCCTCTGACCTGTATTATAATCTTGTAAGGTTTCATGGATAAAGAGTAAGTATCTGAAGAGAGATAGAGAAATGGGGCTTAATGGTACACTGAACACAAACTAGGTCTTTTTGGGGCTAACATATTATGTTATTACTCTTATTTCGATAATTAGTGTAGGGGTCGTTAGCAGTGGGAGGAAACTGAAGGCACACAAAGGTTTGGCGCTGGTCCTTGTCATGTACAGACCGAAACCACACCCCTTTACTCAATCACAGACCTTACGATTTAAATTTTACTACTCAGCCAAATAACCCCCTGTAAAAATGTGGTAAAAATATTAAGAGATTTGAATATCAATAGAACACAAGGAAATTTAGTCCTCCATAGAAAATTACCTGCCAGAGATCATAGAATGAATTAAAATTAAAACACTCAGGAACACTAAATTTCCAATGATTAAAATATTTATGACCTGTTCAGTGTTATCAAAGACATAAACTACTGTAAACTGAGTGTAGAACACCGTTATTCTAAAATAAATATAATGAACTAATTATCAACCCTTCCAAAACCACCAAAAGAACATCACGGGCAGAATGATGGCAGCACATCACCAACAGCAGTATCTGAACATCCAAAGCTTTAAGAACGCTGTTAGATTAATATATTATTGACAAGATTAACACAGAACACAATTGTAAAATTTGGGGACATTATATTATAAAAACATTTTTTAAAGTAAAATATTTGCCCTGAATACAAAAAAAAATATGGCCTGATTTAGATTCTTATAATTTACAATGTTTGTATAAAAAAACAATTTAATATATCATAAATTAGTTCAAACATTTGTCATATTGGTTACACCTTGCAAGATAAGCTATAGGTATTTCCACTTAGAATTAGATACTACATATTACTATATGAGTATAGTAATAAAAACTTGTTTAAAGATATGATTCATTAGAACCTATAGGTCCTTGAAGTTATTCATACTGTATATTGTAAATCGTGATGTACATAGTCTAAAATTAATCTATGACCACATCAAAAAGGTTCATCATAGTTATAAATGAAATTGACCACATTTTTACATAAAATAATTTATAAGCTAATGACTGACCCTTTTTTACTGCCATTGTTTTCTGCAGTCTTCATAAAAAAATATAGAAGAAATATTTCACTGATAAAGAAATATTTCTAAAATTTGTAACAATATTAAAGATACATATGGTGATCTAAATTGACAAAATTTAAATTTGATTCACAAATGCTGCAAATATAAACCTTGTGGGTTTTCTTCGGGTCCTCCGGTTTCCTCCCACTGCTAAAGACCCCTATGCGCAAGCAAATTATTAAAATAAAATTGAACAATGTGTTAGTCCCTAGTTTGTGTCGAGTGGACGTTAAACCCCATTTCTCTCTCTCTCTCACCCTTAACATGTGGCAAAGTCATCTGTGCTAGATGTAATATCGTTGTCAATAAAACCAGTTTTAAAATTATTTCATTATGAACTCTGTCTAATTTGATTGTAAAACTGTGAACAGAAAGATAACTTCACAAGATGTCTTCAAAATTTCCATATACCCTAATCGAGCAACGCCAAATGCATTAAAAATTATATTCAGAAACCTCTCCTGTACCACGATCACAAGTCTGAATATAAATGGGGAGATAACTATTCAATTTGTACCATAATTAGAAAATTCTGAATTTTGATAGGGTTCTTCCAGATAACTATATGAACTTCTGCAAATCAAAAAGAAATCTGTCAAGAGCTCTGACCAGCAGATTGTTCACAAGAAATTATTGTGGACGCACTAACCAAATGTCATGTCGGACGTGCATCACAGCATTATACATTCACAATAAATGTGGACTTATAAAAATAACCTTTTGATAATGGAAACATGTATAATAACTGCCAATATATTGATAGGCAAACAGCCATCAAACTATGTGAAATATTATGTCCTATTGGTCTCAGTGTCATGGACTTCGGCTTTAATTATAATAATATCAGTTATTTACTTCATCCATGAATGATTTTTATAGATTTATACACAATTTTTCAATATGAAAGATCAATAAATTGTATTGGTAAGAGACATGACCAGCTTAAGAAAAAGATTTCTGAAGTAAAAGATGCCACTTTAAAACAGACGATTGTCGACAAATCAGAAGCCAACACCTGCATAACATTATAAACCAAAATACACCATGAGGACTTTCTTAATTTAAAATTACAATAGTCCATACATATTATACCCATGTGTTCAACATTACTTTGCTACTTTTCAAATTTATAATGTTGTGACTAGTATTTATGGACTCATTTTTCAGTTTAGGTAAATATACTGAAACCACAAATATCCCAATATGTAATTTAAATGTACTAATAATAATTATTCCAGGTTTATTAAACAACAAATTCCTGGACAAAAAGACATGTCCACTTTATGGAAATTAACTTACAAAAACAATTTCCAAATATATTTTCCCCCATTTCATTTGTTTGAAGCATAAATTAATCAATAAATAAGTATCACTTTATATCTAATAATTTATCTAACTAAAGAAATTTAAAAATGAAACTAGAGCTACATATCTTAAAATAATATCAAACACTTTAATCAAAATTTTAAACTACATATACTAATCCTATACTATTGTTCTAGTATCATTTGTTAATATCTTCCAATGCACACACACACATATTCACCTGTAAGATGAACTATATAATTTCCTAGATAAAGTCTTCTTTTCCAAGTAATCGAATGAAATAGGCCCTATGACCCTTAAAATATATTACAACACATCACAACGCCTAAAATAACTCCATATACCGGTACAAAACACAGTTCCTTTAAATATACCTACAAAGAATCGCACAGCGTGACTTTATACTCAGGGTCCCCTTACTGTTGTCTTTTATATCTAAAGAGAAAATTTCTTTTATACAGGTATATGAAATGAGAATGAAGAGATATATCTATAGATTGTATTTTACATCCTGGTCAATGGTGAACAAGGACAAGGTGATCAAAACCTTTAAATCATTGAGCTTGCTATCAAGTTACTTGGTTATAAAAATAATAAATTATTTACCTTTGTTATTATCTTATCTACAGTAAAACATGGAAAATATGGTTCATACATATCTATATGATATCTATATTACGAGCGAACATGCAAAAAATGGATTCAGGTTTTCTCGAGCAGATTAATTTATCAAATATGGACCTTTTATCAAGATTTTTTGGGGTGTATTATAATTCTACTTGAAATCGGTAAAGTAGCTACATCAGTGAGGTTTACTTGATCAGATTCTTTTAATAACTGTTGATCACAAAGTCAGAGGAGCTTTGTTAAAGTAGTACGGACTCAAAAATATTTCTGTATGTAAGTTCATGTTACAAGTTTTATGAGTTATGAACTAATTTCTTTAACATAAACAAAGTATTGCCAGGCAACATATATACGCCCATAGCTATGGGAGAATGCTGTAGAACCTGGGACAAAGACTGTTACACAGGCAACTCTATACCAGAGGTCTATTAATTGGCCATGCCCAGAATAGGTTTTAGGTGTTAATGGAGTGACCAACCAGCTTTGAATAAAAATTTCACTGAATATAATACAAATGATGGGCTACCATTTATCTATTTGGCAATATGAATTCTAATTTATTATCCACACTTAAAGAGTAGATCAAATGATTTTCATGTAAATGTATATGACATCTGAATAGTTTACTAAAACACAAAACAAACAATCGGTAATGTCAATGTTATTGACAAAGCCTTGAAAAAAATATATTGTACCAATACCAACCGAATTACAGGATGTCAACATATCAATGTGTTTACCCGGTCAAAGTGGGATAAAATAAATGGGATTAATATTTTTTTTTTCATTAAGATAACCCGCAACCACTGAAATAAAATATCAGCTTACTCTCATCTACAGTTTCAAGTGCTTCATCTTCTTTATTCGTCATATCCTATTTCCAGGTAATCCAACAATACAGCTAGCTATATGACAGACACCTCCAACTTCTATTAATATATCCAATATGTATTAAATGTTTATCAGAAAATTTGTGTACTGATAACGATTGGTAACAATATTACAGTTTGTTTATTGGTATTTTACTCATGTTACCAGCCTGTAATATTTCATTTGAAATAAATCAAATGGAAATTAACCTAAAAGTGGTTTTATTGATATCTCAAATTTATATAAAGTTGTAAATATATAAACATATTAATTAACGATGAAAAGAGCATTTAATAAATTCAATAAAGCAAAACAATTAATTCAAAACTTGCATAACAATATATATGCCATCTTTAATTTGAATTAATAGAATAAGGACCTGGTTTTCTAACTGGGGTTCCACACACAAGTTATCTATTGGAACCATGAAATAGAAAAAAAATGGTTCTAAGAGCATATGAATTTATATTCAATTTTTGAAAAAAAATATGGTAATTTCTAATCAGCGATGTTCGGTGTAATAAATGAACAATTCAAATTGAACGACAGTCGTTTACACCTGCTTAGTGCATTGTACATGTTTTTTTTAAATTACTATTTTGTCGTTTGTGCATCAGCCTTTACTAATTACTTCCACATTGTGTTGTAGGATATGTTTTTATTTTTTCATTACAAAAATGGCACCCGAAACCATAGGGTACACTAATCGTGTACTGATTATAAAATGTTAATTGTGTCTTAAATATTGGATATTAGGATCCTATAGTTTCACAACAAGATAACAAAATCAATATTGATTGAAACTGATCAATATTGGAATCTAATTCGGGTTTTTAATTTCGAATATTATGGAAAATATTGAGTTAAAGACTTAATAGCTCCTTTTAAACTTGTGTCAAATGCAATTATTTTTATTCAGATACATATTATTTCTCAGAAACTACTCATGGTATCACTTCAAGAATTTAATTTCCAACATTCGTCAAAACATGGATGCAATTTAAGAGATAAAACTATTTTGAAAAGTCTGTGCATATCACCATGCAAACTCTTAGTCCATGTGACAGGCAGATATTCATTACCAATTTGGTGAATGGGCATTCCCACCAAGTGTCGCTAGTAAAAACTTGGTTCCACGTGACCTTATCGATGGTAAGAGAACCGTATCGGTATTAAATTCCATATTAACGACAAAAACTAACGTTTGTCAACAAACAAGTTCGTAATGAATGTACAGGAAAACTGTGCTATAAGGTAAACAATGAGGTCACGTGGGACAGCCTCGCCTATAAATTATGTCCCCTAGCGAGGACGCCCATTGGTTTTACTATGATTTTCAGTTAGCCTTAGGTCTAAAGTGTCCAAAATTGGTTGATGCGCCATAGTCATTATAGTACTAGGCTTAGTACGAACTCCTATGTTATTTATCTTACAAGTCCCTGTGGTCAGTTAACCACGTGATGTTGTGTTCTTCCGGTTCTCTCTGTATTATTACCGCCATTAAATAGTCTTGTATTGTTTGTCGCTGTTTGTGTAATTAATCCAATCCGGTGATTATTCACCGACTGTCATGGTGGCTAGAGTTGGATCAGACTCCATTCTTCTAAAGGTATTAACTTTTCGTAAAGGAAAAATCGCGCCATAGTCATTAGTACTAGGCTTAGTACGAACTCCTATGTTATTTATCTTACAAGTCCCTGTGGTCAGTTAACCACATGATGTTGTGTTCTTCCGGTTCTCTCTGTATTATAACCGCCATTAAATAATCTTGTATTGTTTGTCGCTGTTTGTGTAATTAATCCAATCCGGTGATTATTCACCGACTGTCGATGGACTTCCGGGTCACTTTGCCAAATGTCAGTTTGGCGCCCATCTTTAAAATTGGCCGCCATTTTTTTTATTTGAAATAGCTAGTGCGAGTCGGGGAAGCCTTCATAACTCCTCAAGAGTTTCTCCTATGAATATGTAATATAGATCAAAATGTTCATAATATAATTCTGCATCTGCTGGTATATGATATATGTTGTTTAATCAATACTATCAGTTTTAAAATAAAAGATTAATCTGAAAAAAGCAACATTTTCAATTTTTTTCATGTCTGTTCATAAGTTTACTAACAAATAATTTTCAGACCCATATAAGCCAAATTATCTATTTGGTCAACTAAAGTGATTTAATAGATATCAGAAACATTGATCATAAAAATAATTTCTAATATGAGTGTCCCAAATCCAAGATGGCGGAAATTCAAAATGGCGATTAAATTTCTTAAAATGGCCAATTTGTCAGATAATAGTCATTTCATTGTTTGATATGACATGTACTATCCAATTGCAAGGGTGCTCAGTGTTGCTGAACTTACAATTAAAGATACATTATGTAAGATTTAGATAAAGAGCTAGCCATTCTTGCTACAATAGTTCGAAAATAGATAATTTAAAATGAATTAAATAATTTGAAAATTTCATTCAAATTACTCTATTGCGAGCAAAGATATTAGCCTTTGAAGGTTTGACAAGACGTGTGCAATAATTTCAACCACTGTACTGGATGTTGGAAGCTAAGTCTTGCTCCTCCATTTTTTGACTGAATCAAAATATATCTGAACTGTTCTAATCTATTTAATATCAGAGAAATCCGATGCCATCGAAAGTTGATTATGGCCTGGATCAGTTAATTAATGTCTAATTTATAATTTAGAAAACATTTCAGGCCTAAAGAAAGACCTGCAACAGGCAGATTAATTAGCGCTTGCATAATGTATGTTTAATCTAAACAAAAGTTTGAAAAATTCAAGGCGACGAAAATTCAAAATGGCCGCCAGAATTTCCGTAAAATGAGTGACTTTTTTTTAGAAAATCGTCAACTTTCTGTTTTATATAGCTTAGCTTATAATATCTCTCTATAAGGTTTACAGAGTTACTGATAACTTGAATAAAAACTCAAAAATGAATGCTGAAAATGATGGTAATGATAATGCTAAAATTAACACATCTGATACGACCTTCCACCCACCCCATAAACAATACAATGGGGCATATGGAATTGATTATACTGGATCTCACAGATCACAAGATATTTCTCCAAAATAATGAGGCATTTTAATTTAATCTCCTATGTCTTTGCACCATTTTTAGCCGTACTGAGAATTATTTATGATATATCCAGTTGTTACGAATTTAAGTTCTTTTATTCGTTCTTTTTACATTAAAGACTCTATATGCCTGGCAACTCTTGTCATATAGTCTAGTAGGCCTGCAGCTAAAATTTCTAGCTTGCTTAGAAACACAGTTCCGCTGCAAGGTCCTCCCTACTAAACAAACTATACATTTTTGGAAAGCTTATAACACCAGGAACACAAATCCAAGCAAAATGTTTTAAGGGCAGGTGAAAATTGTGATAATTGTCAAGTAAATGCTATATTTATACTCACAATTGTGAAGATGAATTAAACTTACACACACGATACCTAGGATAGGACAGGCTTATCTTTGCTCCGTGAGGTGAACGACAGGGTTCTCTCCAACCAGACTCAAAATTTCTTTTGAAAAAACTGACTGTAAATGGTGCTTTCTAGAGTATATCCTGGTGTTTTTAGCTTATGCATATATTTTAACAATTTCTAGGTTGTGTAGAAAGATATGGTGCTTAAATGTGTTGCAAATTTCCATATTACATGGTAGACTTCAACTTATCATATAAACAATTGGTATTTATTTAAAATTTCTGTTTTATCGAATGAACAATTATTGTTCATTCGCATAGAAAGATATGATGTTAAACATGTTACAAATTATTAGTTGAGTATTTTACAGCTACAAGAAAGTTTACGTTTAATCGAAAAATTCCAATAAATAATTTATTTTTAAGTTGAAGGGAGAGTCCTACAGGTGGTAGACCATATTAAATGCTTTTTAAATGTGTATTTTCATAAACTTTGTATGCAGATAGATTATTATACTGAAGGGCCGTCTGAATAGAAAATAAGATTTTGTGTGAAACAGGTGTCCTAAAAAACTGGGTTCACTAATATATGATTCATTCAACAACAAGTATCACATAGCAGCAGATGAAGCATTATCTTGCGAACATTGTGAGCCACATTCCATATCCATAGGTCAATCTGTTCAGGAGTTATGAAGGTTTCCCTGATGCGCTCAATTTAAATGAAATAACGGCGGCAATTTTTAAAAATGGCCGCCAAAATGGAATTTAGCAAAGTGACCCCGAAGCGCATCAACACTTCAGCCACCAGGCTCACTAAAAATCATGGTTGAATTTATTCATCAAATTGGTAATGATGCTCCAAAATTCGAGGTCTGTCACATGGACTATCTTTGAAATTGATAATTTGGCACAAATAATGCATGGGAAGTGATGCAATTCTAAGAAAATGTGTATTTTTGTCATTTTTAGAACACTATTGTAAATATCATTTTGTCTCAGTAGAACTAATGATCACACAGAACTTGATTAGAGCCAGCATATAATCCAGAATCTGACTATGGTTACGAAATAGCTGGCATGAAAAGTACATTTTTTGAGGTTTATTTTGGTACAATTTGTTATTTCAGCACATTTCGCCTCTATCACCATTTGTGTTTGAAGTATTTAAAAAAAAGAGTTATTCTCTCGACACTAAAACACACTGATTACGAGATAATGCTCTCCGAAACTTGTTGAAGACTGCCATATTGAATTATGTTAGTTACGTCAATTTGCCATGGATGAATTCGTCCGAATTTGTGTATGGTGTTGTCTGATGTACGTATTATTGAACCAAACTGTATTGTTTTCTTTTGCAATTTGTTTGGGGTAAAATGTTATCCCTCCCTCCCTCCGCATACAGGACAAAAATGTAAGGGTTTCCCTAACCTGTAACCCAACGATTAGGGATGTCGACTCGAGTGACGTCATAGGTTGTACGTGAAGGTACCACGGCAGCCAAGTCGCATGACACAAACATGACTTCTTTTAATAGATTTTTTTTAGCTTTGGGCATTTCCTAGAGAATACAATGTTTTGTGAATGATGTGAAGCAAACTTTGATAGATTAATTAGTTTGAATATGTTTTTAGTCCAAATATATCATCAAATCACCCAGTTTGTACCGTAGAAGGTATCTTTAATGTGTTATTTTCTAATATAAAGGTAACAATTATTATTGTGATAAATATATACATGTAGATTGGTTTTTATTAGCGCCAGGAATATGTTGGCTAACTTCCTGGTGCTGGAATATGGGCGAGAGATTCCGCTCGGTTGTTAAGATCATATTTTTATACTAACTACCTACATGTACATCATTGTCTTGATAATGTAATCATTCATTTAGAACCATGTCAATTTGGCCTTGATATATACAAAAATGGCCCCACAATTCAATGTACAAAAGTAACCCGATGATTTTATTGGTGCTTGTGTCTGTGTAGGCTAATATATGCAAAGTCGTTCTGTATTTGCAGAGCCAATGAGTTATCCTGCTGTTCATTTTATAAATGTATGATTTGCAAAGACTCTGGTGCATCATCTATCACAACACAAAATCTCTTAATATTATTTACGATTGTATATAAATTTCTAACCATGCGCTGTCATCTATGTGAACTTTTGGGGACACAAACTATACAGGTGCTGCCAACACACATAAAAACAATTGTTTATTTAATCAAATGTAGACATTTATAATAAATTGATTAAACACAGGCAAATTATTTTTTTCAGATTTGATTACTGGGGTTTCATGTATCATGTGTTGCCCACAGCAAATAAAAATAATTGTTCATTAAAGTGGCTAAGTCTCTAACTCAATATCATCCAACACTACTACATGACTACACTCTGTGTAATCCGACATATTGTTACGATCCCGTACGATGTCGGATGTGACAGAGTGCACTGTATACTGATTTTAAAATGTTCAATATCTCATATTTTTTTGGCAAGATTACAGCATCAATATTGACTGAAATGGACCAATATTGAATTTTAAACCATCTTTTTAATTTTGAATTTTATGGAAAATATTGATTTAATGGTTTATTTCCTTTAAACATTCTGATTTTTTCATTCCAATCAACAAGTAGAATAACATAGACATCGATAGATAAAGAAATAGTTTTTATTTTATTTCATCTGTTTCTAACAATTTTCAAGAAATAATTATGTACATTTACTCGATTTAAAAGGCATTAGTGAAACCTAGAGCTGCGTCGCAGGTCTATGTACTTTCTTTTTTTTAAACACCTTGGCAATTATGAAAAATATGCTAAGTCTGTTCTCACCTGGCGTGCTTTGTAATTGTTTTCTAAAAGTCTACAAATGCTTCTTTGACAAGAAATATAGCAGTCCATAGTCCATACCTCTGTAAACCGATATTTTTGTGAGAGCCTGTACTGCAATATTAATTTATATAATGTTCTCAGCAATCCTTATACAGTGTCAGATTCTCATTTACAAGAAGAAACCTCTCTATCTTTGCAAACTTAAAAGATTATTGACTCACGATGGCATATTTTGTTAAATTGCGTAGTCACACATGTGCTAATATAGTTCTAGTGGATTTGTTAAAAGAAACGTTTAATACTTGAACACCTGTTAAAGATATTGAGGACAGTTTGTCTGATCAATGAACATAAAATAGAATTGCGTTCGTATGTATAATTTAATAAAGAATTCATTATAGTGATACACAATGGTTATGACATAAGCATGTAGACAGTATTCTAAAAATTGATTTAATCAAAACCTTTTATTTCTTTATTTAAATATCATTACAATTTAGGTAGCATTTTAATGTTAAATGCTCAAAATGTTCAAGAAAGCACTTGTGAAGAGTTTGGGAGAGGTGGTAGACTCATAGGTGCCTGAGCACGGAGTGCAGGGGGGGGGGGGCAGCTGCCCCCTCTAACTTTCAGACAATCTGCCTTTTCGGGCAGACGGGTAAAGTGAAAACAAAAATTATCATTTCATCTAGTTGGCAAAATAAGTGCTGCGGTTACGCCGCTTGTAACCTGAAAATTTTTTCGAGCATGTTAGGTTCTGCCACTCTACTATTCAGCGAGCCTGTATGCCTATGGGCTTACTTTTGGGCACTGAACTCGCAGTTATGCTGAAATTTCCCAAGATTTAATAATAGCTTACTAAATATAAACTTAATTACTACTATTTCTTGGCTTAGGTAACAGATTGTTACAGAACAGAATGCATTTATAAGTATATATCAAGTATATTTAGTTTTGTTTGCACTCTTAATTTAACAAAGCTTGCCTTCATTCTATAAACATATTATATATATATATATGCAACTAAATTATTGATTTTACAAAGCTGTTTAGAAACCAGAATAAATAACCTAGTGATGACTAAAATATTGGGGCGGATCTACTATAAAACTAATGAAGGACTACTTGTATTGGTTGGAACATTACTTACCACATTGTGAAGTTTTTTTAAGGGTGAAGAGCTATAGTACTACATAACATTATATTCCAGCCAGACTGTAGTCTTTTCTAGGTTTTATATTCCATGGAATGGAAATGAATAACGGTTAACAAATCGTCATCAGTGGCAGATTCAGGTGGATACCTCTCTTTAAATTATGGAATAAAAAGTTCACTTATCGTTTTGTTTCTATGAAACGTGTGAATTTGAGCTTTTTATTGGTTGGGGTGATGTAGCTAATGAAATTTAAAGGTTATATTTGGGTGCGTATGTGCAACAAATCAACAATGACACCCCGATTTGTCAAAATTTCCTCGAAAAACCTCCGGAACTCCCCCACAACCCAAGTATCTGTTTGTCATCACCATACTTCAGTCATTTTGAGTCATATATTTATATGGTAGCTTTTATTTCTTAGGTTTGTGTGCAATCCTTGGGGGGGGGGGGATTTTTCACCTACTCTTTGTCAATTTACAAATTTACTTCATAGTTATTTTATGTACAGGCCAATATGTACAAGGGTGAACTTTAGGTTTTCAAGTGACTATGTACACTCTCCTTGTTATCCCTGTGGGCATCAAACCTGATAAGTGAATGCCAGGCTTGAAAAATTGTGACAGATCTTCTTGGTCCATGCTGAGGTTTGAACTAATAGTCGAGAGTCCTGTGCCCTAACTGCTCATATACTACAGCCTTCATCAACCCAATAAGTGTTGGGTTAATGGCAAACTTTAAACCAAAGAACATGTGATATCTATAAGCATTGAAATTGTTTAATTGAAATAAATCAATAAATATAACTAAATCAAAATTCAAATATCAATTGAAAAATGTGTTGATGATATTCATGCATGGATGCTTGGTTAATGATGTACTTAATGATGGTAAAACTGAAGTTATACATTTTCATTCTAAGTATAGATGTTGTGATAAATTAAAAACGATACAAATTAGCAATGAGGAAGTTCTTCCATGTTCAGCTGTTCGTAATTTAGGTTTTTATTTCATCTGGTCACGTTACTAAAGTATGCCAGTCAGCGTTTTTCGCGCTGCATAAAATTGGTCGTATTCACAATGTTTTAGACCGCACCCCTACTGAATCACTTGTTCACGCTTTCATCACCTCAGGCCTTGATTACTGTAATAGTCTTTTGCATCATCTCTATCCTAGCTCTCTAACTAAACTTCTCCAGTTTATCCAAAACTCTGCTGCACGACTCGTAACACACACCCGTAAGAATGAGCACATCACCCCAATTCTCCACGACCTACACTGGTTACCTGTGCACAGCCGCACTGAATTAAAAATCCTCACTTTCAATTATAAATGTTTCAATCAACTAGCACCACCTTATCTGTCTGATCTTTTAACACAGCTGGGGTACTTCTTATTGAGCCAGCATGACCGATCCCCCAGGTGACGTACAGCAAGCATGCCATCGCTAATGCTGCTCCTCGATTATGGAACCCTATCCCTCTTTCTATTCGAAATGCCTCCTCCCTGGACTTATTCAAAAAACACCTCAAAACACATCTTTTCCAAAAGCATTACACTGATTGATTCACTTACACTACTATTGCTTTTATTTTTGCTTTGTTTTTATGTTGTATTATATGTTTTTATGTCATATTATATGTTTTTATGTCATATTATATGTTTTCATATTATATGTTTTTATGTCATATTATATGTTTTTATGTCATTATATGTTTTTATGTCATATTAGTTGTTTTCATTTCATATTATATGTTTTAGTACTACGCATTGAGATTGTTTTTATGGTGTAATGCGTATAATAAGAAATAAATATTATTATCATATTATACAGCAATAACAAAAACATTACTAAATTAATACAAAAAATAAATTTCATTCAATCTCCAACAATTGTCAGTTATTTGAGTCTTTTGTGAAGATAGTTTAGATTTTAAAAGTAGCTTTTATTTAAATAGAATGAAATCAATATATGAACACATGTTGCAATCTATTAAATTCCAATTATTATCTTTTACATACAAACAGACATCAAGTTTTAATGTTACATATTGGAAAAGTATTAATATCATATATTTGTATCTCCATTATCGTCTGTGTTTCAGTATAAGACACAGGATATGATTGCTTTCCTATACTGTTTTGGTATAAAAGGAAAAAAACCCAATCCTAAACACATTGTTTTAGGGTTGTTTTAGGGTGAAGGTAAAAAAATCCTAATGGCACATTAAATCCAAGCCAAAAATGAAATAAATATATACCATAGTAATAAATGTATATTGGATTTTATACTTTAGTCTACATGCCATGAACTACAATACAATTGAAAACTAAAAATTTAAATGAGATAATTGGTGACAGTGCTAGGCTGTTCCAGTAAAAAGGCAGAAGGGGTGAACAATTGACAGAAGGTCTATGGAGTCTACAACATGAAATTTCCAAAAATTCCCGGCAAAGTTTGCAATTTGGAACATACACTGGATAAGGAACAGTATCACACCACATATCTGAAAATACCACTGAACAACCTTTACTAAATTCTTTTATGCATATTTACTTCCTATACCCAGTATCTCAAAATTTCAATGACTAATCACACAAGCTTTTAGAGCAAGACATGGCCATACATGGCTCCATCTGTGGTGAACAGTATTTAGCCAAACAAATGTCTGGAGCTGGAGCCAGGAAATTAATTAACATTAAGATATCAGTGGGGAAAAATTAAAAATTTATCTGCTTCATGTTCAGATCTTAAGGAGTTATCTCCCTTAACACACTATTTTAATATTAACTCCTTTTTCGGGTTTTGTTGCAAGTAGATCTGCAGCCTTTCCTGGGGTTTATATTTGATTAAACTGTGACAAACTGTGAAATTTATAGCAGTACTCATTTTAACAACATTCTGTATTTGTCTTCAGAGTTACAGTGCCCAAAGAGTAGTCTCTATCATTCAGACAAATATTCTACGATTATTAGTCTGGATGGGGGTTGTCAACATTTGAGAATAAGTATGTTATTCGCTCGATTTTCCGGTCTTTACGTTTTCAAGCAGAAAATCTACTCCTTTTCACTCAGAGACAGTCAGAGAGCATCATAAGGGAGGTACATACCTCTAAAACAAGATGTCGACGCCAATGAAATTAATTTAAGAATTGCCATTTCAAAAAAATATATTCAATATCCTAAATTTTCTAATGTAAAATTTCTGTCTTCAAGGATCATATCTATGGTTTTTATTAATCTTAAGTTGTGGTCACAATTCATGTGTGTTTATAAGAACACATGAGTTATGGGATTGATTTCCTGAAGGGACCTAACTAGTTCAATTGCCAATGGATAACCGGGAGGGTTTTTTTTTATGCAATAGATTATCCACTAAAAATTCCTCAAATGTGGTTAACTGATCCAGCCCCTCTGTATGTTGAAAACTATGAGGCTCTGGGTGTCCGAGACTACCCGAAGAGTATCTTTGGTATATTTGCTAATTGACATTTCCCCTCATGACATCGCAGCAGATTGTTAATTAAAGACAATGAGTTGGAGAGGGATTCACTTGTCCATGAGAGAGGGGTTCACTAATCCGCGGATGCACTAGTCCGCCACAATAAAAAATACTATACATATGGGTATAAAAAAACCCAGCAGATATGGTGGTTGATTGGTATCATGTCATTATTTCGTGGTGTCAAGTGTCGCCCTTCATAAAGCGACAACCCGACATCACAACATCCGCGGATGCACTAGTCCGCCGCAATAAAAAATACTATACATATGGGTATAAAAAAAACCAGCAGATATGGTGGCTGATTGGTATCATGTCATTATTTCGTGGTGTCAAGTGTCGCCCTTCATAAGGCGACAACCCGACATCACAACATTTTAACTCAACACCACAACATTTTAACCCGATCACGGGCGTGCTCTATACAGTGTACTATGAGCGAAACTTTGCCCGGATAGCGGCGCTATCGGCCTACTCTTATATAGAATTCAATCAATTCTTGGAAAAATAATTTAATACCATTATCAGTGTGGATGTGATGCGTATACACGTATATAACATTGTCATGGTTGGTGCA